AAAGGAGCGTAGGGATTAATATGAAAATAAAAGGATTGATTTTCTAGATCACTTCTCATTAGAATCAGTTAAGGAGAGACTCAATTTGTATGACGCATCTAGAACACCTACTGTGCAAGCCCTAGCTGATATAATGATTATGCTTTACATCCGTTCTACTAAAATTAAAAACTTACGTATATTTAATGAAGGTGTAACTAAATATGCAAAAAACTAAGATCAGCAGGATAATCCTCGAGTATTTAGATCGTTAGAAAGAGATGAAGAGTGGGCTAAACTTCTTCTTACTTGAATTCAAAATGCAATTTCTTCTGAACAGTTAAAGGAGCTAGAAGTGCCAGAAGTTAAATGATTTAATACATTTCTGAAAAAAGAAAGATTCCTTCTTGAAATTGATAAACCACTCCTTCCTAGTTATTTGTGCAAATTAGAGGCAATATTTGCGATCATATTGAATAGTGCAAAGAATTTATCAGAAGCTATGACCATCGCCAGTCAAGCCCTTTGACATTCGTCAGACAACCATTCCTTTTCAGCGTAAAACTATACAATAGTCAATTTTCGAAAAAGAGGACAGCCTTATAATCAAGAAACGGCATTTGAGCTCTTCGATGAAAACTAATCACATATATTGATTAGAGGATCGGGATATCATTTTTTAATTTATTTTTTCGTTTGCTTAAGATATAGCATATATAAAATATTGCAAAATGATAACTGATCAAAAGCATTCATTTGATAGTATAGCTAGTAAGCAAGAAGTTATTAAATATATAAAGATATTAGCCTAGGTATTTGAACTAAACGAGCAAAATGCAGAAGTATATATTACACTTTCCAGTGAAAATAAGATGCTAAAGAAACAATTAGAAAATTATCATTTCCAACATAATACTTTAGAAAGGAGGGTAAAAATATTGGAAAGAGATGTAAAATCCTTAAAAATCAAATTAGAAGATCTGGACAAATGTGTAGATAGGGAGACTGTGATCGACTTAATACAAGAAATAGTTCTCTTGCTGATTGGTAAAAAAGATAAGGATTTTTCCTATTCGTCTGAGTCTTCTGAAGAATCTGATTCAGTTGAGATGGTAAGAGAGCGAAAAGCTATTCCTCATAAGCAATAAAGAAGGGCACAGCTGAAAAGAAGATCCAGAACAGTAATCATCAGCTCAGAAGAATTTGCTGAGCCACAGATTGTGCAACAATAATCTTATTTTTCGATTGAAAAAATCTTCTAACCATATAAAAATGCATATAATTAATTTGCTAGAACAACTTCTGCTAGAATTAATATCATTTATTCTAAAGGATTTTTTAAACCAGATCTAAAAAATTTTCGCAGTATAAATGATATATGGGCAAAAAAGGTAGATCTTGAATGGTTCAAAAGAAAGACTCTTTTCAATTTTCGTACTATGTCATTAGTTCAAGGCAAAAATACAGTCAAGGATTTTTATTTGAAGCTGGAAGAGTGTAACAAGAGTTTAGGCTATAATAAAAATTTTCTTAAATACACATTATTAAAAGAATTATCACCTGAGAATGTATTTAAAGCTCTTATGGATAGTTTACAAGCACTTGCGTTAGATAAGATACTGGAAAGACTTATCCTAAAGCAATGATTACATGATTTTCCTGAAGGTATTTTGCTATTTTTTCGTTTAAAGATACAACATATAAACAGAATATTTATGATACAATCAAGTATCTTTTATTTACCAGAACTATTAGAACAGATTTTACATTTTTTAGCAATAGATAAATCTCTCTACTCTGCTCTATTTGTTTTCCGATTATAGTACAGATGTGGTACTCCTATTCTATGGAGATGCATTGAGCTAAAGGGAAAAGACTTCTATCCTAAACAATCTCTTCTAAATGATTATAATTACTGTACAAAAAATTATTGCTCAAATGTAACTCATCTCAAAATATCATACTTCCATTTACGTTCAGATAAAAAAATCATAAGCATTATACATTCATACCCAAATATAACCCATTTGAGTTTCATAAATAGCATAAGATTTAGTAATAGAGTATTATAATTGATAGCAGATTCATACCTGAATTTAAAGTATCTCAAACTGTATGATAATCAGTCAGGTGGCTTTACGAGTTTCTGTGTTCGAGTAGTAGATGATAAAGATCTATAGAGGATTGCAAAGACATGCTATAAATTAGAATATTTAAATATCACTTATCATACAGAGATTACTGAATATTCAATTTGTGATATTATTCGTTTCTTTTTAAAGCTTCGACATCTTGATATTTCTTTTTGTAAAATTACTGATATGACTATCAAAGAAGTTGCCAGATCATGTCTTAATTTAAAATATATTAATTTGAGAGGGTGTTATATTAGCAAAGAAGCTGTAGATCAGCTTATTTCACTTAATCCAAATATTCATATTGAGAATTACCAGGATTTGAATGATTTTCAAGCTGAGATAGAGCGAGTGGTAGAGCTAATATTAACACAGTCTCCAATTGCTAATATTAGAACTCAGTTTTACCAGAGATTCTGATAACCTAATTCTAACATATCTATAACAGTTAATAGATTACTCGACGATCAAGCAGGATGGTAGAATTCTATTGATTTAACTAATCTAAAGCAGTGATTATCAGCTGTTATCATATTTGTTCCATATTTTGTGATGATAATAGCATCTAGAAGCGATAGTTCTATAATCATATTATGCAAAATCATTCTACTATTTATTAATTAATTTCTAATCCATGATATGGCACAGTAAATTTTCTTAACTGTCAAAGCTATTCTGGCTTCCTGTGATCCAAATACTTCACACTTTGGCTTGTTTTAAAGCTTTTGGTATCCTGCATCTGGTCAAATTAATTTGGAATTTCTACAGTATGTAGATCACATTTTGTAGGCAGTTGAAATTTCAATTAGAATTCTGAATAAGTTAAGTTGAGTTGAGTTTAAAGATTAACTTTATTCGATTCTCTTTTTTGAGTCAAGTCGAGTCAAATTTATTTTATAAAATCTTTCAATTTGATTTGATTTGATTTTAACTTGATTCGATTTTGAAAAAAAATAATAAAAAAATGAAAAAATCAGGGAAGGGAAAGAGTGAATGATTTGTTATCATTCAAGTTAAACAATTTGTCATCATTCTTCTTGAACGATAAAAAAAACATTCAAGTTGAATGATTCGTTATCATTCTTCTTGAATAATAAAAAAATCGTTTAAGTTGAACAATTCGTCATCATTTTTCTTGAATGATAAAAAAAACGTTTAAGTTGAACAATTCGTTATTGTTCTTCTTAAATGATAAAAAAATTGTTCAAGTTGAATGATTCATCATCATTCTTCTTGAACGATAAAAAAAATCGTTCAAGTTGAACAATTCTCATTATTCTTTTTGAATGATAAAAAAATATCGTTCAAGTTGAACAATTCATCATCGTTCTTCTTAAACGATAAATAAAATCATTCAAGTTAAATGATTCATTATCGTTCTTCTTGAATGATAAAAAAAATTGTTCAAGTCAACTTGAGTCAACTTGAATCAAGTTAAATATTTAACTTGACTTAAATTTGACTTAACTCACAAATCATTGAGACAAAAAAACATAAACTTAACTCAATTTAAATTTGACTCAGCTTATCTGACTCGTAAGTTAACTCGACTCATTCAGAACTCTAGTTTCAATCCTTATATAGTATTAATAATACATTTTAGAATTCACTGGGTAGCTATAAATTCTTGCATAATAACCTACTAATTTCTCACCTCCTTTAGGTTCCTAGAATCAAAAACTAGTATTTTGTAGGTTGCCAGATCACCAGCATTTCACATGCCACTTTGGCAATATTGCCTCCACAAGATTCCCAATTTTTCTCACTAAAATTCGAAAAAAAAAAGCTATCTGAATATGTTATTAAGGTATGTTAATAAGAGTAGACTATCTCCTGTAATACCAAAGGTACAAATGAAGTGTAAAATTACTAATATTTCTAATCATAATTCCAAAAAAATAGTTAGATATCTCCTGCAGTACCTGCAAAAGAGGAAATAATTAACCTTATGATTTTCTGAATAACCATGCATTCAGTGATTAGAATTTCACGAAATTTAGTTTGGTAAATATCTAGAACCTGCTGAATCCTAATGTTCAATCCTCATCAAAATTGGATCATTGGTTGATGAGCTATTCATTGGGAAATTCTTGCTAAAAGAATAGGAATTATGTAACATAAGATTCGCATACATTGTTTTTTTTTATTCTGATAGATGATCCTAATTTTTTCTGGAATAATCTCCTTGAAATGTCGAAGCGAAGCCTAAAGAAAGAAATGTAAGTATCGAATTCTTCTTGTATAGCAAGTTCAAGAGACTCATCCAACTAACTATTACCTTATATTGAAGAAGGAAAAAATTCTTCTCAGGACTGGATTGCCAATTTCTTAGTTGTGTTATATAACATAAAGATAAGGTGAGATATAGTCCTTTTTTTTATTTGCTTCGTATTTAAATTCAAATAATACAAACTAATCAATATTATACTTATTTTTTCTCCATCATTTCCGATCCTGATTTTTTGTGATGCTGGCGATTCCAAGTCTGCGAGTATATTTCTACTAAACTGAAACAAACAGAAAATATTTACGATCCCAAATTTATAATTTTTGAACCACATGACTCTGATTTCACACGTCTGATAATAGAGATGATCTTGAAAATAAAAAAGCTAGGAAACTGATTGAGAAAAAAAAAATTCTTCTCGGGATAGTTTCTCGACATGGGATAATAAACAATTTTTTTTCATTATTTCTGATTGTGATACTGACGATTCCAAATCTGCGAGTATATCTTCACTAAAGCTGAAACAACTAGGATTCTGAGACCTCAGACAGGAAGAGATAAGTTTTAGTTGAACCTTTTATCGCTTAAATCAAACAAAAAGTTAAACGAAGCTATTCGCCTTTACATCTATCACATCCATCATCAATTCCATCAACCGAATGATACTTACGATATTTTATCTTGATTCTGAGAAATATGGTTCTGAATCTGATTTGACTAGAAGTATTCCACTCAGACAGGTGAAAATTATTTCTGAATTTCAACCCTTGCATTATTTTCCATCCTTAAGATATAGTCATATCATACGAAAATAAAAGAATTTTAACACTGCATATGATCTCTTAACTGGTAGTAACTTATTCCTATATGTTATATTCTATGCAGAATATTATGCAACTCAAAAGCTCTTGCTACACGAATAAGAGAAAACGAAAGGCGTCTGAAGCTTTCGATGATGATTTTAATTATCTCTATAAGATCATTACAACAGGTAAGATTTTTTGACTACAGTTACGTAACAAATGATGAGCTAATATTGAATGATATTATTAACTCTCGTCTATTCTAGCTATAGATTAGTACTTTATCATATACATGCCAGAAAGAATTTATTGTATGAAGGCTAACTATCATATTGACCTTACTGAGGATATTTTAGATGATGATGCAAAACTTTGTTAAGGAGTAAAGGAAGTTATGGGGGTAATCATAGGTTTGTTAAAGGATAGGGTTGAGGTTGATAATGCTTCAAATAGTAAGAGAGCAAAGATGAAAAAATTTATTAAGGAATGATTTTGCATGCAGGTCATAGGATAAAATTTAGTCATGTATTACAGGTAAAGTCCCAAATCTTTATATTTATTCTTCGCATGTAATAATAAAAAAAATTGAATTTTATAGGTATATATAATAAGCGAAAAAATATATAGTCATAGAATTGCCATTTCAGGGCTATAAATAAATTTATATTGTAATCAAATTTTAATTGAGTAACTGTGTTAGAGCTAATACATGCTCTAGCTTTAAAATATCTATTTTTGTGAATACGTCGTATAATGCATTCAGTTTATATTTTGAAAGTACTAAATTTAGAAGATGGAGAAATTTCATGAGCGTGTCATTCCTTCAAGTTTTCATCTCTTCTTGCTTTCAAGTTATTCCTATTAATATAGTCAAGTTATCAATGGAATAGTTCATTTGGATTAGATTCTGAAGTAAAGATCGTTTATTTTTTTCTAGAGTAAATAGACTTACTCCTCCCATAACAGCAGATTCTATACTAATAGGAATCTTTTTATGAATATTCGCTCTACTAGCTAGGATAGATAAAGGCGGAATAAAAGTCAGATAGTAGAAGTCAATTAGGGGATCTAATACAAATTCACTGACGTATATGATCCCAATGTCTTCCAAATAATCTGAGAGTCTATTAACATATTTATAGCCTTCACGAATCAACTTCCAGAATAGCTTTTCTTTTAGATCAATCCATCAGTCTAACAAAATATTGAGTACTGTTTTTTGTATATCCATAAAAATGCAAGTAGTATAAATTTTTTGTTTATGTTATACTTTTTCCACCCAAGTTCAATTCGGATTTTTCCATTTTGAAATTTGATGTGAAAGGTGCAAGAATATAATAAATGAATTGTCTTACCTGCCCTCATATTAAAAAAGATAGAAGTATTTGTGGTTATATTTGCACTTGCTTGGCGGGATGCTTGTTCCATTAAAAATCAGGTGCGAACAACATGCTAAAATCTCTATGTAGAATATGTGATAAGCCTACTTTATCTTATACGGGCTATTGTTCTAAGCATGCCAAAAAACTTATCATTATACTGAAAGGGAGAGGCAATGAAAAAATAATCATAGCATTACTCCGTAATTGTAAATTAATGAGAGGTAGGATCCTACATAAACATATATTAATAAAAATTTTTTTCTTGGCAAAAGTGTGTGAATTTTTTTCATGTAATCACATGGTTTTTTATTTGAGTAACAGGATTTTATTACTTAAACATAATATAAATATAATAAATTCATCACTAACGTGAGTAATGGATCATTACATTAAATGCTTTTAGAGAATCGTGGCTGGATATAGATATATCTATATGGAATATCTTAGCTGAAAGAATTTGTGAATTGCTTTTATGCTCAGAATGTCACGAATATATTTCATAAATTCACAATAAAAAAATATTACTATTCTTACAGATAGATGCATAATTCATAGTGTTTGTCTTGAATGTCTTGCTACTAAGGCCGAAGAAAGGAATGATATTTTTTAGATAAAAGCTTCACAGGATACTAAACCCTCGAATCATAATTATGATATAATTGAAACGCCTATTATAAAAGAACAAGAAGTCTTAGAACCTATTTCTTATCCAGAAAATAGTACTTTATATAATAATTTACAAAATGACCTAGGATCACATTCTCGAAGAAACCACTCACCCTTGAAACCAGTTCCGTTGAGAATGATTTAATATCTGACTCTGATATCAAACAGCAAACTCAAGACATTACTAATTTGCAGGATATGTATTTTATTGAAGAGGTCCCTTTAGAATCAGATATTTCTTCTGAGAAAGCCCTATTAGAGGATAGAGAGATGGATGCTTTCTTGAACGGAGAATACAAGAAAAAGGTTAGTAATGAAATTAAGCAAAGAAATAGGGAAAAAAAGCTTTAAGACTTGGATTTACCTGATACTTCTGACCCTAAGTAGATAGATCAAGTAGATATCACTATATATATAGTGATGTCTATTTAATCTATCTACTTATATTATAGTGATACTTACTTATAGATATTAATGCCTACTTACTTATTTTTACGTGTCTATGCTCCTTCTAATGCTTTATTGCTACCCATCTATTTTCATTAGTCTGTGACTGTTTAGTCACTAAACAGGGCAGATATTTGTTTTTCCATTCTGAAGCCTTTTAATAATTGTATAGGAGTAAAGTTAGTTTTTCCACTCTATGATCCTTTTGGTTGTCATATTTGAGGTTGAGGGTGTGGTCCATTTGCTGGCCTTTTAAGTTGCTGAAATAGTGTAAAAAATTATCAGATAGCGCAGTGGATCTGCAATTAATTTTCACCAGCACTATACCATAATTTCGGCTGATCTTTTGGGCATGTAATTCGAGGATCCAGTTTGACACCATGATGGTGATTTGATAGTGTCCTAGAACTGGCAGAAAATCTGAGTGTTTCTATTAGTTCACCAGTTTCAGGTCAGCTTGGATGCCGAATTATTATACCCAAAGTTCTGGCCGAAATTGTGGAATAATGCTAGCTGAATTTATACCAAAATGTGGTAAAAAATATCATAACAGGTGGTGCAATAATTCAATATAAATTTGCGTAGGAATGTTTCTAGTACCCAATATATATGCATTTGTGCCACATATTTTTTTATATTCAGAATTGGAGGCCAGAAGTGCACCATTTGCGACTTAACTATTGCCTTTTCATTGCTAGTATATTGGCAGGATGTTTTAAGTTCTTCTGAGACCCGATCATAGTCTAAACTGGGTTGAAGCAATGAGTATGCTATTTTATGAGTGTCACTAGTGTCACTAGTTTCGAATACTAACTGGTGACAGAACTAGTGACACGTTTGTTATCTTTCTTAGGATTATTAGGCTTCTTTATTTTTTTTTTGATTAGTGTCACTAGTGTCACTAGTAAAAAGTAGTAAAATTTAAGGAAAAAATTGAATTTTTCTATGGTACCCTAATGAATATATAGTATATGCTATATATAAAAAAATAAAATAAAAAGTTAGGAGATTCAGATTTTTCCAATGACACCAGTGACATCAGTAACGCTCATCAAGAAAAGCTTTTTTCGGGCTAAGATTCTTAAAGAGCCTATCGTTTGCGTTACCAGTTCTGTCACGAGCTTTTTTTTTTAGTGACAGGTTGTATCATTTTTGTTTACCTTTAAATTACCTACCAATATCCTGCTGAAGCCAACTTAGCCTGCTTTTTCTGATGGTACTGTTCTCTTTTACAGTGCTTTCTAGTGTGTGAATTGCAAAATCCATATTCAGAATAAGTTCGTTTACCACATTCAATGCAAGGTATATATGAGGGAGAATTCTGATATATTTGGCATCCTTTGAGTAGAAGCACTCCCAATTACAAACTTCTCTGATCCTGAGAATATATGGACATCGATAAAATGCCATTTTTGATAACTATGAATAGTTCGATTATGTATTGATTTAAATATTTCAGAATTAATTTTCATTTTGAACTTTTTTCTCTCAGAGTATATACTTTCTCTCGAACTGTATATTTGTTATATAATACCATGATCTAATCTGAGCTTTCAGAGTTCCTCGACGCGTCCTCCGCTTTTTTTTGCCCAGAGGCTGAAAAAGAAAAAATACCAGGCCAAGTGATTCATTATTCTGACGAAAAAAACTTGACCAGTTTTCCAACACAAGATGATATAGTTGTAGAAAATGATGAGAGATTAACCGCAATCCTTGATGATGCTCTATCCAGTTGCCAAGATATTCCATTCATGACCACTGATAATGAAAGATCCAGTCAAAAGATAAAAGGAAAGTACTACTATGTTCTTCGTCTCTATAGTTCCCTTATTAATGGTCAAAAGACGGTAGTAACACTTTTTGGTATTCGAGTATTCTTTGACGTTCTTGTTCTAGATGGAGAGACTCCAGATGAATGCGAAATGAAAGTAAGGGATATTCTTTCTAGGGAGGTGGAGACTCAAAAAATTAAGCATATTAAAGCTTTCCCTTTTCGGGGTTATCATACGGGAAAAAAGACATATTTACGAATCTATATGAGTAATACCAGTAAAAGAAAAACAGCCATTAAGGCCATCTAAGATAATAATTACGAAACTGCTTCAGATGATTTATACTCATTCCACTGTAAAGTGGCTTGAGAAAATGGAATTCAACTTTCTGGGTGGTCTATGCTGAGCAATTATATGTACAAGGGAAGGATTGACCCTCTCTGCCCCCACACATTTTACTTATCTAAAAAATATTTTCAACCTGTTAAAGACCTTACTACAATAACTGATCGCTTCCCTATTTCAGCACTCAAAAGGGATTGTACTCTTGTCCTCACATGGGATATAGAAACACAATCACAAGAGTTGGGTGAATTTGCCGAAGTCTTTGATATGAATCACAATGTCTTTATGATCAGCATAACATTGCATTGGAAAGATGATCCAAAATCGCTAAAGAAAATATGTCTTGTCGATGTTGAGACAGAACCAGATCCAGGATGCATCACAATTATATGTGGAAATCAAGAAAATCTGCTAAAAGCTTTCGCTTTCTGCTGGTGAGCATTCGCCTCTGACATCCTAGTTGGATTTAATGATTTAGACTATGATTAGCATTTTATTATGGAAAGAGCATATCATCTCAACATACTCGAATGGATGTGAAAGCAAATGACAGGAAAGTTCAAAATAAAGGAAGAAATTCTAAAGTGGAAATATTGTGAAAAGATAGGAGCGAAATCTGAAAATGATTTCGTGAAAAAAGTATCCTGTTAAGGCTTTCGAGGAAGGTGAAAAGGATCTAGAGGAGAAAGAATATATAGGCAGTCTAATTAAGATCAAAATCAGTGCAGAAGAGGATTTTACTTCTAGTTTCCTTAAACTGCCAGGGTGTGTAGCAATTGACGTTAAAGTTTGTCTCAAAAAGTGTTATTCCTGTTCTGAAGTCGAAAAGAAAAGTTCACTTAAATTTTTCTTACAAAAGTGTGGTCTTGACAGTAAGGCCGACATGCCATATGATAAAAT